GATCATGGAAGGCTCTAATATCCTCCCACCTGAGTCACGCTAAACTAAACTACGTTAGTGACTCACATAACACAAGAGCCCTTCCAGCAGCAAAATTCTCTAGTAAATATGCCTATAACTAACGTACTGAAATGTGACTAAATACTTAAAATTAAACATCTATAGGCAAAACATAAACTAGACTAGAAAGATCTGAAATGCGTTTAATAGGCATGGGAGCATCGTCTATAGGTTTCGCGCACTTTACCGCACCTTTGAAAGATTCAACAACGTGTTGGGAATCCTTGGGAGAAACGAATCTTCGGTTTAATGGTCGCTGGTATAAGTTTGAAACCCTCCGCAGAACTAACAGGTTTATCCACATCACCTTCCAAAGGGTACAATCGCTGAACTGGCTTCAATAAAGAGCCTCTAGCAGTATTTACCCACACAAGTCGGATCTGTACCATCCTTACCCGGAATCAGGTTGCTTACTCGTCCCAGCGGCCACTGGACGCGTTTGTCCATGTCATTCTCCACAAGTACCACTTCTTCTAAGGAGATCTGTCTGCTAGGCTTCTTGGAACTCCAAGACTTCAACTGACCTAAGTATTCCCATATAAATCTCAGTCTCAAGTCGTCTCTGAGTTTCTGTTTATAAAGAATCCTTTTACACAGTGATTGAGAGTCAACCATATCGCAATCAGGTACTTCAGAACTCTCTAGCTCTCTCAAGAACATCATGGGTGTCAAACATCATCAGGTCATTTACATCACTGGAAAGGTAAGTAAGTGGATGTTGGTTTATGACAGCCTCACAGTCACAAAGAAGTGTCGTCAGGTTCTCATATCTTAGGCATGCTCGGCTTAGAACTTTTAGCAAAATCTGCTTGAATAGTCCCACCATCCGTTCCCAGAAGCCGCCCCACCAATTAGCAGCTTCATCTGCTTTAAAATTAATTTGATTAATTAACCATGGTGATTAAAACACCATGAGATTTTGTCAACACTACAAGTCGCGATGATCTTATCCCAATCAAGTCTTTAAAAACAGTTATAAGTACCCACAAAATTGGTATCATTGTCGGAATACACAGTCTTGGGTCTACCACGTCGCGCTATGAATCGCCTAAGTACTTGCATAAAACTAACAGTCGACAAACTGGTACACAACTCTAAATGTACAGCACGATAAACAGCGCATGTAAAAAGACACATACATGCTTTCTCCCCATTCTTCAAAAATAACGGTTCTGCAAAATCTATCCCTGTGATCTCAAATACAGCCGCGTTCCGAACACGGTTTAATGGAAGAGAAGGAAAATTGGTCACAAATGACTTACTTTTTTGTCGTTTACATATGACACAATTGGAAATAGCCGATCTGATAGCCCGTCACCCTCCAAGAATCCAATATCGTTCTCGCAGTATACCCATAAGTCCTTGTGTACCGACATGTAAAGATCTAACGTGTTGCTTAAAAATCTAACGTGTTGCTTTCATGAGCTCCTCAAAATTGTCTTCAAAATCGGCGGCGTCTTTTACCTGTTTGAATTTTTCAATCCAGAAGCGTTGTTTGGTGGTTGGTTGTGCTTCCGGGGGGCTGTCGTTCTGCGTGGTTGGTGCCAGATTTGTTTGTTGGATTGGCAGTGGTCCTGGTGGCTCATCAGGTGTGGGAACTGGTGTTTGGGGCTCTTGTGATGGGTTGCGGGGTGGTCCAAGTGTTTCATTCACCGGTGTTGTTGGCGCAGTTTGGGGTGGTGGTGTTTTATGTGGAGTTATCCGCCTTCTGGTTTTTGGTGGGTGTGATGGGCCTGGATTCTGGCTCGGGGCTGGTTGGCTGTACTTCTTTTGTGTGTTCTTCTGTCTTCCGTGTTGCGCTCGTTGATTGTTCTGGTGTTGTTGAGCAGCAGTTTAGTCCCTTAAGCAGGTTTATAAGGGTAGC